ATGCATAATATGATTTATGGCTCGTCAACTGCTTTTGGGGCATGACAAGCGAATATGTAATGAATGTAAAAAAAAAAGAAGAGCACGGGATCTAAACTTAAAAAAAAAAAAAGTGACCAAAACATCAGCCAGGAAGCATAGGAACTGAGAAGTGGTCTGTGATCACCGCCTGCAGAACCACTCCTTTATTGGGGTGTGTCTTGCTAATTGCCTATAATTTCCACCTGTTGTCTATCCCATTTGCACAACAGCATGTGAAATTGATTGTTGCTTCCTAGGTGGACAGTTTGATTTCACAGATATGTGATTGACTTGGAGTTACATTGTGTTGTTTAAGTGTTCCTTTTATTTTTTTGAGCAGTGTATATATATATATATATATATATATATAAAATATCAAAAAATTACCGGCACTCTTGGGTTTAGGTCATCCAATTTATTGTTGGTCAATTCAAGCAAAGTCAATGTTTCAGCTGCCGATTGGAGCTTTCATCAGGCCTTTTGTGTCATGATGAAAGCTCCGATCGGGAGCTGAAACGTTGGCTTTGCTTGAATTGACCAACAATTACCGGCACAAGAGTGCCGGTAATTTTTTGATATTTTTTATATTATTGGGACTTGGCACCTGGTATCATTTATTTTGAGTAGGAGTGCAAGAGGTTCAAATCTACAAATACATATTTGTGTCCGGGGCATTCTCATATGATATAGAGTAAGATGGGTTGTAAAGATGTAGCTTTAGGAATAATAGGTTGAGGTGTGCCGAAACCGACGTATGCTGTAGGCTGGTAAAAAGTGGGCTTACATAGAGGAAATATGAACAATGGGAGTGGAGGGTGGGGTTATTCGTCTGACCAACAAAGGTAAGTAGGGAAAGGGTGGAGTCCCTTTTATTGGTCTATAGCCCCTTCCACAACTTCAGGCCATGCCTTCCAATATATAAAATCAGAGACCATAAAAACATATTACCGGACTTTGTTAGGCAATATTTATATATATTCATATATATCTTAAGTTAAGTTCTGTATGTTGGGTATTAAACTATTCTGACACTTCTATTTTGTGTGATTTTTTAATAGTTATTACTATTACAATGATGCTTTCAGGTATGGGTATGGGATCAGACTTTGTGTCTATACATTACAGTACTAAAAATCACATTAAAATGAGGTTGTAATCAATATATGGCAAAAGCACTACTAAACCTCAGAACTTACAGACTTCTAGTTATGTTAAAGTTCATCTGGAATAAAAAGTCCAGCAGAATCAAGCTTACTTCCCTGCAGCACCATAAATCCCATGGCGGTATTGGAGTGCCAAATATCCAGAAATACTATTTTGCCATGAATGCTGCAGTGGTCGTTAGCTTCAATAGTCAAGTAAATAGACCACGATGGATGGAAATAAAGGAAGCTAAAATTCCCCCATTCCAACTTAAAGAATTACCCTGGTTAAGTCCTGAAAGAAGGCCTGGACTAGCAAAATTATTTCTATCAACAAAAACTACCCTTAAAGCCTGGGATATAGTGTTTAAAAACAATTGCCACTCAGTGAAACTGTATAGGGCTATGGCGATCGAACTACTGAAACACTAAATGCCATCTTTGAAATAGATCTGTTGAAGAAATATCACTTGAACAATATAGATAGTTTTTGGCAAGGCAATACTATTTTATCATACGAAAAATTAAAATTTAAACATAGATTTATGAATGACTGCAAGGAAGAATGCATGTTGGTTATTGAGAAACTGAAATAACTATATAATAGACACCGACAATAATTACAAAGAGTTAGAATTATCACCATTGGAAAAATTGTTTTTGCACGACCCAAATAGGAAGGGCACAATATCAATGTGTTATTTACTACATAATACCAAACCCACTGTTAAACTTAAGCACATGCTATCTTGGGAGGTGGAGTTGGGCACCCAATATGAGTTAGAGGATTGGTTTAATTTTTTTTAAATCATTAAAGGGAATATCTTTTTGCTCTGACCATTTTGAAAATCATTTTAAAATTTTGTGTCGATGGTACTTAGCTCCGTCCAGACTACACAACATGAACAACATGTATTCTGATCGGTGTTGGAGTGTAAAGACCTTACCTTGAGTGGGAGTCAACACGCAGAGTTAAAGCACCCTTTGCAATTATACACAGGCCAAGGGGACTCAAGGTAGAAATCCCCAAGGCTGTGAACCAGTGCACTGGGGCTGATTATAACCAGTGCTTCCAGGAGAGAGGTACAGACAAGGGATATCCAAGAAACGTAGTCAGGGACGGAACCAAAGGTCAGGACAGGCAGCAGACAGGCAAGCGCGAAGGACGAGCAGAGGATCAAAACCAGAGTCAGATGAAATGCAAACAGGAACCAACAGGAACAAAATGATCTGACAAGGATCAATAGCCAAGGCGGGGCTGGAATCAGCTTACATCAGGAGCAGGTGAGCAAAGTCCAGGCATACAGGTTCAGGCTACTAGTTACCAGGAACAAGCATAAGTAGCCAAAGACACGTGGAGCCAAGGGTCACTGGCTGGGATGCAGGAGACTCAGGTTCGAACCCAGCCAGGCCCAAGCACACAAATAATGCGTAAGGCACGATGACAGCGAGAGATTGTGGCGGTTTGGGAAATATGGCCGACATATGGTGCTTTTGACCAAAAATAACCAAATACTGGAAAATTATTTATAACCTAATCATTAATGTAGATAGAAACATTGGTACTTTCACATCTGAGCTTGCTTTATTCAAAAAATTCCTTGAGTCCATCAGCAAAATTAACAAAATAATAATAGGCCACATTCTGATAGCTGCCACCTCTTGTTTGCCTAGGTACTGGAACTCTAAAGATATGCCATCACTTAGAGAAGTACTGAACCTACTCCTAGAAAATAAAGCACACAAACTACCACATAGAAGTAACTCGCACCTCTTCGCACAATTGAAGTATGATTGGGATATGTGGGAAGATGAAATCAAAAAAGCCTATAATATGGAACAATTTGTCCTATTGTTGCAATGTATCACTCAAATTGTATGCCTTATATATTACTATATTAATTGTCACATTGGATGGATCTCCCCTTCCCTCTTCCAAGTTTCCCAACCCTTATTACAAAGTTTTTATAATTTGTTGTAATCTTACAAAAAAAAAAATTTTAAATAAAAACTATTTGAAAAGAATTTATGGACTACTACCACCTTACACACAACTGCAACTAAGCCACTCAAGTGCTTTACACCCCCCTCAGCTTACCTCTATCTGGTGGTCCTGTAGGAAATTCTTGTGGTGTGCACTTTTAGCAACTGCAAATCAATTTAAGTTCCAATTTAGTGCTCCAGAATGACTCCTAGTGTTGTCTGTTTAACCATGTGACAGCACTTTGATTCATTCATAAGCGCCATTAAAAATACAGATGGTGAGTCTTACTGCAGCTCATCCCTGAATACAGTTCATATCTTGAATCTTGATTGAAAGTGTAAATAAAATCAGTGTTATATCATGGAAAAAGCTGGTTTTATCATTTATATTTTTTCTGATGAACTCTAGTTTTTGGTTGCAAGTAGTATAGAATGTGATTATTGTGACGAGACCAATCTCGCCACATTGCATTGGAGAAGCCTATTTGCCAGCCTCCTTCCACATGACTATGGCCCCTGGGAGATGGTAAAAAAAAGTATGCACTTTTATTGGGTGTGCATGGCCATTTAAGACAGTCAGTGGGCATATTGTGGCTTATGGACTCTTTATGGGACTGGCGCTGGCCCTTTAAACGCCTTTTTGGGACATCAGGAAGATTGGGACACTGCCCCTTTAAGACTGTGTCCCCAGACTTGTTTGGGACACTGCCCCTTTAAGACGATGTCCCCTGTGTCCCCAGACCTGGTTAAAACTCCTTGTGCCTGGCTATTTCCCACTTGGTTCAGTAAATGGGGCTTACTGAACCAAGTACCACACAGACAGGCCACCCAGAAGTGGAATTGTGCAGGCAATTTACTTCCAAGAAGCTGCGGTTAACCGCAGCTTAATTGACAATGCTGGGTGGCCTTTGTTCGTTTGCCGAACACGTGGCGGCGGCCATCTTTGTTAATGCGAACGAGGTCAGCGGTATGTGTAGCCAAATTCATGGAACTAAAATCGGCTACACATTTCCGCGAACACCCTGAGCCCTACCTTCTCCCATACTGATTTTACAGCTGCAGAGACTAAGTCCCAATCGGCTATGGGACTTAGTCATTTTTTCAGCCTGAAATAGACCGGCCGCACAGCCCAAATCTATGGAACTGTTTTGGGCAGGAAAATGTGCTTGCGGTCGGTCATAAAGGGACCTCCAGCTAACTTTTTAACCCCTGGATGGATTTGTCTGATTTTTGGTTATGTTTATGTTTAAAGTGTGCTGATTAATAATATTAATATTAGATGTATAGTTTTAAAGTTACAGTGTATGGATAAAAACTGTATTTTTATTGCCTGTGTTAATTATGTTAAACCATTGTGCAACATAATTATATCACAGGCAGAGGGGAGGATTTTTGTGTGTAATTGCTGGGAGTGTTTCTGTAATGTACATTTATGATTGGTTGTTGTGTAAAACCCTGTGGGTGGTACTAATGTGTATATAAGAACAATAAACCCACAGCTCCGTCTGTTCACTGCTTGACCCTCAACACGGAGCTTTGTCTCATTCTTGGGGGGATTTATTATATGCTGTTCCAGTTCGACTGCTAGGAGTGTAAACCTATTCGTATGGGTTTTCCTATTCGGCTGTTTGCAACATTCATATGGTTTCCTGTTCGGCGGATTGGTGTTCTGCAGTAGCTGTGCCTGTGTCTCTGAAAGGGAAGATCTACTAAACAGTGGTTTAACCCTTTTATGCTGAGGGTGCCGTTACAATTGTTATAAAACCTAAGTCAAAACACACATAATGTGAGCAGTGGGTGATAATACTGGAATATGTAATGGGACATTTGAGTATAATAAATCAAACACATCTGTGAATTTGAATTGCATGCTTTATTTATTACATTTTAGTCCATTATCATGTGTTATAAAATGACAGTAGGATGACCAGTTTAATAATGTCAATATACATAGCAGAGAACTGAGAGGTTGTTTTACTACTAATCAAAAATGGTCCCTACAGAACTCACAGCCACCTACTTATTAATAAATTAGAAAATATTATGAAGACTAAAGCTACTACTATTGAAGTTCAAGAGACTTGACCATAGACTTAGAGTGGTTATAGCAGGAATTAAGAGCACACACATGTTGATTGGATACCAACAAGTTACATGTGCTTATTTTTAGGGCTTAATAAGATCCAGATCATGTTGTTTATACTTTAGGAACATTTGTTGCAGATCCAGTTGCAGAGAATGACACTGTGTTAGAAGAAGGGCTTGGAAGTAGTGGTGGACCTACAACAATGACCTCTTCTGTTGAAGTAGTGGTTACTGTGGTTGTGGTGGTAAAACCATCTCCAGGAACACTGAATGTATCAGTAAGAGTGTGAATTTCAATAGGCTTGCCATTATAAAGGCTAAACTGAAAGTTTTCCAAATTGTCAGACACAGTTTCATTATCAGTAATCTGTAACGATGGTGTGTCAGTTAATGTTACAGGTTCACCATCCCCGACCATGATTAATAGTGATGAATATGAAATAGAGTTGCTGGTTTTGGTTCTGATAGTGCTGGCAGTGATAGTTTGAACTTCAATTAATATTGCAGTGGTCTTGTTGATTTCTAAGCTAGATACCTCTATGTCATTCTCTAGTTTAGTTGATGTTGTGACACTCACTATGTTTATGCTTTTCACACTGGTAACTGTAATATTTTTCTCAGGTATTGGTGATGGTGTTGGGCTAATGGATGCAGAGATTTGTGCAGTTGTGTTTGGAGAGGTTGAAGTTGCAGCATAGGTGGTAATTGTAGTTGGCACAGTGGTTGATGTGGGTATGATTTTGGTAGACATAGCTAGGGTTGTGGTGGGTGAAATGGTTGTAGGTGAAGTTGTGGTGACAGCAGTTGGGATGGCAGTTGTTAGAGTAGTGGTGGTGGTGGTGGCTGGAGTGGTGGTCAATATTGTTGTAGGTTGAGTTGTAGTGGTTGTGGTTGTGGTTGTAGTTTGTGCTTTAGTGGTGACCATGGTTGGAATGATTGAAGATGCAGTAAATTGTGGATCTAATAGAAAAGAGAAAAGAGAGAAAAAATATATTAACATGAGAGGGCAAAAAATAGAACTATTTTACTAATAGTAAACTACTTTTTGCATTACTTTATATTGTACAGAGTCAACCAGAATTATCTGATACACATCTAGGAAGGATATGTAACACCAACATAGAAACTGGATTTATACTAAAGAAATGAATTTAAATCTCCATTTTCATTTTATCATTTCCATGTTATAGTTTTGAAAATCCTAGTCACTTTCATAGGAATACGTATTTTTAAATTTAAATTAGTAATCACTCTTTTAACTGAATGCATCTATTTGAGACTTATTTGTTATATACGTATAAGTATAGTTGTAGTTCAGCCACACATCTTCCTTTATGACATAGGCATAACAATATTTGAGGATTATTAAGCTATTGGTCAGGATCATGAGCTAATATATGCAAAAATATGTTTGTACTAATGCAAAAATAATATTTTCAGAAATGCATATGTTTAAACATACATATATTTTCGTTCAATAGAGTGTTTTTAAAATATATTCTACTGTCCATACAAAATGCATTGTTTAGTAAAGAGACATATCCACTGTGACTTCCTGTGAGGTTAGAACGGCTGTAATTTAAGAACTGTTCCTGTACCAGTAAGGGCTAAGTTTACCTGCGATATTTAACGTTAGATTGACTAAAATAATCTTACGGCTAATGAAAGATAGACCAAGATAATATAAGTGATTACATAATTTGAAAGTGCAATACATTTAAGGTAATTCTACCCACCTGTGCAATAAACATCAGACTGTAGCATCCCACTAAACTTGTAGATATAGAAATTATCAGGGCAAGCTTTTATTGTGATGTTTGCTCCAGTCAAACAGCCTGATAATGAATTGATTTGCAGTGGAACAATCTTTATTCCTTCTCCGATGGTAGGATGTGTGCCATTTAAAGAGAAAGGTGTAAGGGAGCCACATTTCAAAGTCCCAGCACATTCCTCTTGCATTCTTAAACCAGCACTCCCAGTGAAACGAAACCAACCAATGTTGTACCGGTCTGTGGAGAATACTCCAGTGGAGTCAATAGTGGATAATCTACTAGTTCCATTCAGAGTTTGGTAGTAAAAACAAGGATCAGCACATTGAACATTTCCAGCAACACTCAAACAGTCCTGGTCATAGGGACAAGGACTAGTAGTACAGTTGGTGGATCTATTACTGATACATAAATAGAAACCATTCATGTTTTTACAGGTGGATGATGGGACACACTTATTTAGTGTATTGTCATTACATTCATTAATATCTGTGCAGACTTTAAAGCTAATTCTGTTATCCCAATAATAGCCTGAGGGACAGCAGTTTTGTGTACCACAGGAGGAAATTGCAGTGCAGTTCACCCCATTGCCAATATATCCTGCGATACAGGTGCATATGACGTAGCCTGTCTTCTTGGTACATACACTAGCTGTTGCATGGCAGTCTGAGCATAACTTGGCATCTATGAAAAAAGAAAAATAATATTATCTAAATTATCTTTTAATTTCTGTACTACTTACTGAGATTACAAGAGATGTAAAAATATCAAAAAAGGAAGGCAGACATGAAAGATGGAAACATGTTGTAATTAATGGAGATAGGTAATGTCAATTATTTTCACATTTTTTTTTATTGTTTTAAATAATAATAATAAAAATAATAATTGTAAATTTTTATCAACTTTTTAACAGTCAATAATATTAAACATTATGGTACATGGACAGTGACATAATAGCAATGATCTTTGTTATGCTTTCCTTATCAGTACTATGAGTAACAGCACGAAGATCATAAATTAAGAAAAACATAAGAAATTAAATTAATAACTGGGGAAAAATGAATACATTGCACATCCATAGTATGATATGAAAACATTAAAGTAGAGAGTGGAAGAAAAAAAAAGTCATATATTTGTATAGATATTGTATGTAAAATGACAAATACGATAAATAATAAGTCAAACATAAGTGATAGAACAGTTTTCGGTCAGGTGGAAACATCATCAAGCTTGTACTTACTCCTCATTGCCTTCTCCCACTCAGACCAGTCATGTCTGAGGAGTACGTTGGTAGCCGATGGTACTTGGAGAGCAAGTTTGCATCTTTTAATTTAAAATAAAAACAGTAGGACGTCTTTGACATAGGGAATTGTAACAGATTTCCAATTTCTATGAATAACTGATGTAGCCGAGATAAGGAGGTGGCCTAACATTATTGTTTTGTGTTTTGATAAATCTTCAGGGAGGCGTTTAAGTAAGCATAATCCAGGAGATAAATCAACAGGGAACTGATAGATATGATCATTTCTAATATTTGTTGCCAATAGTTGGATAGTTTTGAGCATAACCAGAAAATATGGTATAAAGTACCTGTAGCGGAGCTGCAATATTAAATTTCACGATCTTTGCTGGTACAGAAGGTAATCCACAGTCAAGTGCTGAAAAGTAAGGCAATATCCCAAATCCCCCAGTAACCGGACGAAACACAGTTCTGGGAGTCAACTGAGGTTTTTATTCAGAGGTCACAGTATTCATGCAAGTCCCCATGCAAGGGGATTCCCTACTGACATTGCAGGGGACTACATGGGGGACTTAAAAATTTGGACATTTATCCCATCAGGCACTGCTGGACGAGAGGGATACTCCCACTGGAATATACCGTTAAGTGGATTATCCCTCCGTGCAGCAGAACCGACATTTTACATGAAAATCCATAACTTTGCTAATATTCATGTTATTTAGGCGAATGGACGTTCGGTAGATAGCTGGGGTCTGAGTGCACATTTCGTGAGAATACCGCTCAGATGCCAGCTTAAACAACCGAATGCCGCACGAAATACACTTTAACATTGTGTTCGCCTAAAAGTACCGAACACCGATGGGGAACCACAATAGTAAAAGACCGGAGCTCCCAAACGGCCTGGAAGCCCAGCGGTGTTCACGCCGTTGAGTAGCCGATTTCTGTTCCACGCGCTCGATGACCAAACACCGGTGGTGAAACAAAGGATCCAAGATGGTCGACCGCCACGTGGTCGGTAGCCGAACGACGGCCACCTAGGAAAGCCTTTAACTACCGATTGCAGCAATGTTGCAATCGGTTAATGAGTGCCACACGTCCCTCTCTGTGTGGGCTACTGGGGGGTAGCTCATTCGTTTCACGAACAGCCGGTAAAGTCTCTGTTCGTGAAACGAAATACATGAATGCTAGCAGCTTTTGGCTGCTAGCATACGAACGCTCTACACATAGCAGTACAGACCAATAATACAATATATAATCCAGCGGTTATTGCAGACAACCTTTTGTACATATAGTTCAGCAACCCACAAGTAGCTAGGTTTGCCACAGTACCTGTCTGTCCACAGCCTTTACAACATAAGTTAGATGTGGAGAGGTGTAGTCGGAACATTTTAAATGGGGAGAAGTACCAGTGATAAATTAGTTTTAAATGAGATTCTAAGTGGGTAATGCAATGTGTAAGGCTTTTCAATGCAAGTAATGATTCATGCCATTCCTCCACTGTGAATACCTCACCTAGAACCCTATCCCACTTTGTCATGTATGGCAATTTCATGCCTACTTCTCCTGCAAAAAAAGGCATAACACATGGAGATGGTTAGTTTCCAGCCAGGGTCTGAAATATAAACGTTAGAAAAAGGAAAATAATAGGCGCTCGCTATAGTGATCAGGCAGCAGTATACAAAACAAGGATTCTCCAACCTTGTGAGTGAGTAATAGAAAAACAGAAAAGAGGGCGTATACTGCGCCTAGTAATTTATATATGCAGAAAATACATACATGTATCCTTGGATATTCCAATTAATCGTAACCTCGGAAAAGAATTAAGATAAAAAATAATAGTGAATGCTATTGTGAATGTTATTATTTTGTTTGTTTACATTAAAGTATACTTTTAAAATAGTGAATGTTAGAAAATTGGAGATGTCAAATTTATAAAAGGTTTATATTTCAGAAAAACAGAAAAGAGGGCGTATACCGCCCCTAGTAATTTATATATGCAGAAAATACATACATGTATCCTTGGATATTCCAATTAATCGTAACCTCGGAAAAGAATTAAGATAAAAAATAATAGTGCAATACAGTAAATTTTATCTTAAAAACAGGTAGTTTATGGCTTTATACACACATTTAGGAAGAGACATTCTACAAGAGGGTTAAGCATAGAGTGGAGTAACAGATTAACATTAGACTAGCCAAGCTTTAGGTATATGTTGTACAACATGCTATGAAACTGGCAGTGTCAGCATATTGATAAAGTAGGTTTGACAAATTAGTGATTTAAAGCTGGGTTACGGTATCACTGGGTGCAGATATAATGCAGCTATGCATGGTATGGCTCAAAAAGGAAAGTACCAGATTCAGATGCAGAGTATAACTATTAAGCATGTGCTTCAGGATAAGGTATAAAGAGTTCACTCTGGTTTGGAGGGCTCAGTGTGTGGCCGTCTGCTCGCTTAGAATCACAGTTCCAGCGGTGGCCGCAAGCCCTGCCATGCCGCGATGTCGTCAGCCAACTCCCTCTGTGGGGTAGTCGCGTGTGCCTTCCAGCAGGTCACGGTAAGCCGTTGTCGCGGTCCCCCTGTGCTTTCTGCATCTTTCACCCGTGTGGGCTTCTGCATACCGCGGCATCTGGGCTGCTAGTTGTTCGGTTTGTTGTTTAGCCCCGTGTTGGCTGAGGTGAGTGTCCAGGCGCTGCAGGCTGTGTTGGGGATGTTTGGTGCATAGGGTTTGCGATCGCTTGTGCCAGCCGCCATCCTCCGCCATCTTGGATGTACCTTGCTGTCTCATGGCGTTGGGAGGTAGTATTGGCCAGCTGCCTGTGCCACCCAGCGAGGACCGGGATAACCCCCGCCGGTCCAGAGGGGGGGGGTTAGAGGTGAGTACGGTGAGGTTTCCATCTGCGAGGTTACCAACCAGGAGAGCGGCCGCCTCTCCCTGGCTCGGTCGCAGCTAGGCCTCAGGTTGGAATCGTGGGGACCCGGTGAGTTGCGGGTACAAGATTAGTATTAAAACGTTTTCCTGGGTCTCCCCCACTCTGTAGTCACACTCCCAGCGGTGTGGGCGCGATGATTTGGGGTATATCCCCCGTTTTAGTGGCTGGCTTGCAGGAGCTATTGTGCAGCACGTCCACTCTGCTAGGAAGCTAGGCTCCGCCCCTATATTTACTATTTTTTATTTCCTGGATCCTGTATATCCTTGGTGGGGATTATACCACCTAAGCTGTTTATACCAGAGCAGGTCACATGCTCTAGAAAGTGTAAGTACAATACTATTTACCATCCATTATATTATTGGTACTTACTTCACCATATTGCTGCTATCTTTCTTTTATATCAACTACGCACATTGCACTTTGAAAACATCCGTGGCAACTACTACAAATCCAAAGACGGGGATTGTACCGTCCAAGCGCTTCACAGCAGAGCTCTGTTATAGCTCATCCAAATGTGAGTGGACTGTACATAGCCATAAACTACCTATTTTTAAGATAAAATTTACTGTATTGCACTATTATTTTTTATCTTAATTCTTTTCCGAGGTTACGATTAATTGGAATATCCAAGGATACATGTATGTATTTTCTGCATATATAAATTACTAGGCGCGGTATACGCCCTCTTTTCTGTTTTTCTGAAATATAAATCTTTTATAAATTTGACATTTCCAATTTTCTAGCATTCAGGTCCTGGTCAGAAATCCCAAAATGCTTGCAAATTTTTTGAACCAAATTTGCATGTGCAGGGGCATCAGAAACACTTAAGTGGAATTTCATTTGTAGTTGTTCAAATGTTAAAGATAGAGGATAAGAAAAAATCATGAATACAATGAATTGAATGAGAGGACCGATATTCTACGTCTAATACAGGCATAACTAGTTTTAATACTGACAGAGGAGTGGCTCTAGACCAGACAGCAGAAGGGTGAATTTTTCGATCTAGTATATTCCAAGCCTTAATAGTGGTCTTGGTCGTAAGAAACATGTCCTCCAACCTTGGGCGCTGAGATGGAATAAATCATAATATATATAGAAGGCGTATGCCTGTAGTTGTGGGAGGGATTTAGGCCTATATAAACCCAATAAACCCAGGCTTACCTTTCTTCGACGATTCCGGAAATTCTCCTCAGTTCCGGTACACGCAGACCTCTGATGTCAATTTCCCGTGATGCTCGGAAAGAACGCTCAGGAACTCACAACGCCTAGCTCAGTGAGTATTTTCACACGAACGGCTCCATTCTGCAGTTTCCCACGCAAACTGTAAGTCCATTCTCTCTTTTCATTTCACATACAATTCATTAGCACAACTTTCATTCGCATGGAAATTTGACAGGGGGGTTTGCCCGATCGTTCTTTAGCAGCTTTCTTAAATCGGTATATTCGTTTGTATACAGTATGCAAATTTAATTCAACAAATATCGGCGAGACTGTCATTTTTAATGTTACAAGCATTCAGTATTTATTTCTCTGCATTCATTGAATTAAATTTCTCATCTGATGACCTGGGCAAAGAATTGTATTCTTAACATGGCAAGGAACATATTTACATTTACATTTTACATGGTAAAACAGACCACATTCTAACAGTAACTGTAACTGTGTCAGCCTGTTCACACAAGTTCACTTTATATAAAAAAAAAAAAAAATAACAAGTCACCAAAAAATTCAACCTCATGTACCATGCATCAGGCATTTATTAAACTGTACAACTGTTCAAACCTGTTCATATGTATCGTTTCACAGTCCTCAGAAATATTACATAGATGTTTTATTGATGTCAATAAACTATTAGCAATTCATCTGACAGCAAATACTAAATTAGTCCAAAAGAATCAATACAGTAGCTGACACTCGTACCACATCAGGGAAGACGGTACCCTGGCATTACTCAGTGCACGGTTCGGATGCTCATTAATTCGGTCATACAGTTAACCAGTCATTCACCTTCCTACGAATTCGTATCACGCACGCTGTTCATTTAATTTTAGAAAACACTTCTTTCCTTTCTAGGAATTCATTTCGACATTCGGTACTACCAATTACGCAGGTTTACACGTTTACGGTCCGGTTGGTAAATTTCCTCAAAAAAAATAAAATAAAAAAAAGTCTGCTACTGAATTTCGCTTACTTTACTCTATTACTCCTCCCATCTTTTTGCAATAGGGGATTCAGCTTGGGTAAAAAACCACCCGACCAAACATCTTCGCAAATAAACTCTTTAGTGCTTCTCAAGTACGTGTTCAAGTTCACATACAGGTAAGGATAACAAACGATTAAATTGTTTTCATTTTTGTTTCATTTACGTACGTATCGTCCCTCGTAGTTTAGGTGGCTGGCTGTTAAGGTCTTAGGAACCCAATAGCGGTAAATCTCATCCCGGCTCTCTTGCCTTAAAGTAGTGGTCTCGAGAGGCCAACACCCATCCTCAATTCAGAGGTACTACGTCCCTCGGGCCAATTCATAGGTAGCCGCCTCGCACGTGGCATAGAGAGGGCCTCACCTGTCACTCCCATTCTATCTTATGATTACTACTCATCGAGAGGCCAACACCTCGCCACAACGTTCGGTGGCCACGAAATTCCCTTGCGCCAACTCATAGATAGAGCCTCTCAAGCCACTTGGCACTTAGTAGGGCCTCACCAGTCACCAACCTAGTGTAATTGCTTCGCCACAGAGCGGCACTAGCTAGTCAACCAGCACACTCGCTCACACTCGGGCAAAAAAAAAAAAATGTTCTAACAACATCTCCTTTCATGCCCATAGCATGTCTAACAATTCAGTTCAAGAAGAAGACTTATCACTTGCCAGCACTCCCTCCAGACCTGGCACTCAACCAAGACAATCCAGTACGATGTCCAACTACAGATCCTGGACTGTTCCAAAAATCACAGCCGAACTGAATAGGAGAAACATTCCATTTCCGGCTACAGCCAGAAAAGCTGAACTTTTCCGCTTATTAAACTCTCAAAACATTGATGAGTTACCAGGCCCTAGTTCCGATTCTACGATCCAAAATAGTTTGACAGCATTACGAAATATGATGACCTCCCTGGTGGCTTCAGTTGCTACCATAAATAACAGATTAGATAGCCTGGAAGCCACTAGTCAAGCTAGCATTCTGGAAGTACAAATCCCACTAGAACAACCCGAGACAAGTTCAGGAGGTAACTGCAATCCATTTCCTGCTAAAACATCTAATATAATCAACCCAGTACATTTGATACCACAAAATTTAAAAAGAGATATACTAGAAAGGGAAAGATGTTAATCTAGCTTCTCTCCTCATTGCCTCACAGGATATAATCGAAAACAGAGCCTATACTTTTGACGATATATCCGTGGTAATGAAAGCTAGAGATCCTAGGCTCAACAAAAAACTAAATATTCCTGAGTTTGTGTTAGCTTTTGGCTTATATAGAGATGTAATTTGCACTGCTTTCCCACACCGTAGAGAAGAGCTGGATCTATATCTGCACAAACTGGTGGAATTAGCTTATAAATACGGAGGTTACGCATTCTACGACTACCATAAGTCCTTTTCTGCTAAGTCAGCTGCATCATTGGCCCAATTCAACACTCCCACCGATTGGAGTCAATTAGATACAGAATTATTCTGTAGATATTTTGCAGGGCTTAAAACACCAGCATGTGCAATATGTGCCTCAGCATCTCATACGGCAAACTTTTGTCCGAGTAACATAGGTGGCCCGTCTACTAGCAATACCAGTCCAGACTATTTCCCTAATCAAAGGGAAATGAAAGATAAGTTAGGGAGACCTATAGTATTTCTCGGGAAAGCTCAAGTTTGTAACAACTTTAACGCGGGAGAATGTAGTTACAGCGCTTGTAGATTACTTCATGTTTGCTCGATCTGTTTCAGAGCACATGCAAAAACTATGTGTCCAAACAAACTGTTCCCTAAGAAAGCAATGACCCCAATAAATGTAACCAATTTACAACGTTACTTGACTGAACATCCTTCTTCTCACTTGGCGGACTTTCTGGTAGCAGGCTTTCACACAGGTTTGGTAGCACTCCCTTCAGGCATACTAGAATGCCCCAACCTACAATCAGTTTAACAGATCTTCTCAACAAAGAAATAGAGTATGATTTTATGATAGGACCCTTTACTACTCCACCCTTCACCTCCTGGAGAACAAGTCCACTTGGTATAGCCACGGGCAAGTTTAACAATAAAAAGAGGTTAATAATCGATTTTTCAGCACCTCACACTTCCCCAAGCTTAAATTCTCTCATACCTTCAGAAGAATTTTCACTGCAATACGCAAAAATAGACGATGCCATACAAGCTGTCGTCAACATGGGCGAGGCTGCCTGGTTGAGCAAAACAGATATTTCAAACGCTTTCAAACTCCTACCAATTAAGCAGTCACTCTGGCATCTACATGGTGTTAAGTGGGAAGAGAAATACTATTTTGCAACCAGGCTGACCTTCGGCTCCAAAAGTAATTAAGGCAGTAGCATATCTAGCCTTTTTCGGATTCTCAGACCTAAAGAATTCTCAGTGGAAAAAATATCCGACACAAAAAATTGTCTTAAACAAAAGAACTTAACTAAAGTAAATGATCATTTCATACTATCAATTCCCCGCACAAAAACTAACCAATCAGGCCCCCCAGTAGACATAAAATACTTTCCTACCGGTTCCACATGGTGCCCAGTACAAGTGCTGGATAATTTCATACTAAATCAACAGATTAAAAATCCAGATTTGCCTCTGTTGTCCCTACAAGGTAAGCCCCTCACTACTATACAATTCATGCTATACATCCGTGCTTTACTCCTTAGACTAGGCCTCAATCCAAATTCCTTCACGGGACACTCATTCTGCATCAGAGCGGCCACAGCAGCCTCAAGTAGTCAAGTACCAACACATATCATAAAGAAAATGGGCCGTTGGAAATCCTCAGCGTATAACCAGTACATTCCAAACCCAGAGAAAGAAATCAGACTCGCATTTTATAATATGTCTAAATAATGGTGTTGTAATAAATAAATTATGTTTACTTACTTTTTGGCCCTCTTTTTTACAGGCCTAACCTCTCGTCGGTTTCGGCACACCTCAACCGACTCTCATTTTAAAAAATAACTCTCTATTTAAGTGTACGCCCCCTTCCATAATCCGTACACAAATATATTAATTGAATGCAGAGAGAGTTTTCTAGCAAAGAGAGTTTTCTAGACAGTTAGTTCTGTCAAGATAGGAACAGGGAGACTGGGTGGACCTCATTGTTAAAGATTTATATACATTTGTTTTATTGTTTATTTTTAAAAAAAATAAAATGTGTGTGTGGTTGTAATTATGAGTGTGTATATGAATGTCTGTGTTTTTGAGTTGGTGTAAGTACATGAATGTGTGTTCATGTAATACATGTGTGTGTATATGAGTGCATTTGTAAAAGTGTGTGTATGAATGTGTGTGTGTGGTAGTCTTTATGTATGCATGAGCCTCATTTTGTGTCAGTGTATGTTTGTGAGTCTGTGTGTATATATATATATCAATGTTTGTGTCTGTGTATATGTATTCATGTGTGCTGTGTATAGGAATGTAAGAATGTGTGAATATTAATCTGTATGTATCTAAATGTGTGTGTATATGAATGTCAGTATGTGTGTGCAATGCCCCTAACTAAATTTGGGTCGATCAATTTCCACCTCGGTGTAATGTAAGCTAGGTACATTTCTGCACAGGCTAACAGAAAGCTGTTTTCTTTTTTCTTTCCTTCCACCTGTCTGCTTTCTACTCAAATATATGTTTTATTTAGCACACTTTCTATTTTATATACATGTTCCTTATTAATACAGTATTCATATATGCAAATCACTAATCATTTGTTTCCACTGTAACATGTAAATATTTTCATAAAAACATATTGAATAAGCCAATTGGAAAGCCCTCAAAACCCTAGTAGAAAACTGAAACATTTGAAAAGACAAGAACAGGACACTGCCTAGATAGTATACATGTTGGAGTTAATTCATTTAATGGAAGACCATGGCGAATTGACAACTTACTGCACAATTTTTACGGCAAATTTTATTAATTTGAATGGTTAGTGTTTCTGACCTTTTATCTTAACCCTTTCTCTTCCTTCACACTTAGTAACCATTTGGAGTCCAGCTCTATTACAGTACTGGTTGGGTCATCGTGTAACAGAGTTCCACAGCAATGATACTCACTGTAATTAGTCTTTAAATTACATTAATGTGTTTAGAAATAAGTGAGTAAATACTATACATTGTCCTTGTTCTAACTTGCATTTTAGTTGCATACATTTTTATCAGTAAGTTATCTAAAATTTCTAAAAACAGCTCCACCCTTGGACAGTTGGGAGGTATTTTAAATTGCAATACCACTTGTTAAACATATGATTTTTCAATAACTTAAGTGTCATAAAGGTCACAAAGACCAGCAGTAATTTTGAGTTTAAAAAAAATAAAAAATACAATTTCATAAAATGTTGTCAAATTATAGAGGTCTACTGTGAATGTACGCTTGCCCAAATCTGCTGTTTAATCATTCATGTTATTAGGCTGCTATTTTGAAAGTCACAAATGTGGAAATTAACTATTAAAATGACTACAAAATCAAAACAGCTTGATAGAAGGTGTTTCAAATCGGTGACATTATAAATATCAACAGTTTGCTCTGCCATCTCAACATGTCATGTGGACTGGTGGCCATATTGGATTGCATAATCAATTTAGATAATTATTCAAACAATTTTACAAAATGCATATCTTTATTGTTTTCCTAGCTACAATATATACTCATCTGCTCTAACTAGGTTTTTGTGTTTGACCATCTTTATTGCTTCTTTCAGCTATATTGTAGTTTGGTTTTACTTCAGTGCCACTTAGCGCTTGTGAACACGTTGCTGTAAGGTAATAAATTATATTAGATATAAAATACAATCACAGCAGGGATTAGACATTAAATGTAACTGTACAAATACAATTTTGTGTGCCAGACCATTAGCTTCTACCCTCCCTTCACAAATAATAGTATAAAAATTATACTCACATGACTGGAATGCTGTTCAGAAGAAAAGCAAAGAAAAAGATTAAATTATGTTAACATAATTCAATATTAATTGCAAATTATACTTATTTATATTCATTTACTTCCTGAGTGCCCTTCTGTAATTTGTTTATGTGTTCAAGTAAAAAGGTGCAAATGTTTTCAAGTTAATGTATTTAAACTGCTTCTCCAACCCTTGAAAAAGTCTAATGAACTTTGCTGTAACTTTAACTTGACTGTAGTCCGTTTTTGCTAAGCATACCAAAAATGTAAAAATCAAAGCCTCTACTATAGTAAAACTTTTGTTTAGTTCCAAATTGAATTTCGTCCAAATTTGGACTAATTCAGAAGTATCCGAAATTTCCGAATTCCTACACAAAAACAAACCAAAAACAAAAAATTGACTCAATGATTTTTGATCCATTTGTTTTCAAAGAATAGCAAATTAAGGACATATATATTAAACAACTAAAAAAGCAAAATTAAAGGGACACTATTGTCTGTGCTCTATGAGAAGATGCTAATTGACGCAGAGCAGTCTTTTGCAGCGCATGCGCGATCGGCTCCCGATGCTTTCCTATGTGAAAGCATTGGGTTGGCTGAGATCATCAAGTTTGATGATCTCAGTAAAGGAGATGGAGTGTGTGGGGGCAGCCATGACTGATACCGTAGGGAGCTGGAAAAAGGTTAGTAAATCACTGTTTTAACTGAAGTTAAAGGACCACTATAGTGCCAGGAAAACATACTCGTTTTCCTGACACTATAGTGCCCTGAGGGTGCCCCCACCCTCAGGGTCCCCCTCCCGCCGGACTCTGGAAGGGGGAAAGGGGTAAAAACTTACCTTTTTCCAGTGCTGGGCGGAGAGCTCTCCTCCTCTGATCCTCCTCTTCTCCTCCCCATCGCGCGGCAACAGCTGCGCACGCATTCAGCCGGTCACATAGGAAAGCATTCATAATGCTTTCCTATGGACGCTGGCGTGCTCTCACTGTGAAAATCACAGTGAGAAGCACGCAAGCACCTCTAGTGGCTGTCAATGAGACAGCCACTAGAGGAAATAGGGGAAGGCTTAACCCATTGATAAACATAGCAGTTTCTCTGAAACTGCTATGTTTATGAAAAAAATGGGTTAAACCTAGCTGGACCTGGCACCCAAACCACCTCATTAAGCTGAAGTGGTCTGGGTGCCTAGAGTGGTCCTTTAAGGGAGAGGGGGCCTAAACAGCTATTTAGACCCATAGTGTCAGAAATACATGTTTCTATTCCTGACACTAAAGTGTTCCTTTAAGAAGAGGACATTTTTTCTTATTTTTCCTTTTTTAGTTGTTTAGTAGGCAGCTCCCTAATTTGGGACTTCACATCTACTCATAGCAACTGAAACAGTACAATCAAGAAAAGGGTTTTTATCTTAATTTGTATTTTTGAAATGTTTATTAAATAGCTTCCTTATCCTTATGTGTGATTGCAATAATTAAGAGTACCAAATTAGAGACTTATCTACTAAGCAACTGAAATAAAAAACATTTGTATTCGTAGCAAACAAGTCTGTATTGTTGGCACTATCGCTCCCTCTGCCTCCCCCCTCCGTTGAGCCCCCCTCCTCCACCCCCCACCAAGGTGAATTAAGGGTTAAAAACCCTTTATTAATTTTCCTGATACTGAGGAACATCGGCACTGGGTTGCAGGTCTGCCTCCTCCATATCAGTTGATAAAGGGGCGCGAATACGCATGGGAGGCAAATACTGCGCTAGCGCGCATTAAGGCCATCCACATAGGAGAGCATTGAATCAATGCTTTCCTATGAGGAAATAGTGGACATCCAGCATCAGTTAGCGGACCAAAAGTCTGGTAACATTAAGGAAGCGCCTAAAGTGTTGGTCTGATAGACAACCACTAGAGGCTGTCTTAGTGCTGCAATGTAAATATGTATTCACATTTGTAAACAGTTTCTCTAAAAATGTGTTAGATTAAGTGCAATAGGGACACTGTATATAGACCACTTAACTGAACTGAAGTGGTCTAGGTGCCTATAGTGTCCCTTTAATAAAAGGTATATTTTATTATTTTTGCTCTTTCAGTTACGTAGTAGATAGCTATGTAATGTGGTATCCTTACATGGGATTGCTATAAGTAAAAATACTAAGCAAATGGAATTGCAAAAGAAGAAATGTATTTTTCTTTCTTAATATTTACCATTCAGCTGATTAGTAGATAACTCCTTATTTTGGTGAGTTTAAAATTGCAAAGGTATCATTATGGAGCTATCTACTAAACACCTGCCAGAAAGATAAAAAATAAAAAAAAATGGCTTTTCTTCATTTCAAACTTTCCGCTGTTTAGTAGATAGCTCCCTGATTTGTTATCCTGTGTAAATCACATACATGCCATATGCATAATGTGTACATCACATGTATTCTATACACAGGCAGCACATACATTCACTGTTAGCCTCTACCACTTCCACAGGAAGGGTATTGCATTTATCTACTATACCCTTCCTATATCATTATTAGCCTTTACCTCATCCACTGGAAGGCAGTTCTGTGTATTGTATACCCTTACTATTTCACAGGTAGCCTCTACTACTTCCACTGGAAGACCATTACAGGTTTCTACTGCTCTTTCAATATCACAAGCTTCAAGTGGATGTGGTAGATACTAACCGTAATAGGCTACATTTATTAGTAAGAATTCCAAGTGAATTTCAAATTTGAGGCCAAAATAGCCAAATTTGAAAAAGATATGCTTTCGGCACAGATGAATAGGAAAAATCATCCAGTTTGGATATTTTGACTTCAAATTCGAAGTTAACTTTGAATTTACAAAGCATAACTTCACGACAATTCTTACTATAATGAATAACCCTGACTGTGTATTAGAACACAATCTCTACATTGTAGTCTTGTTGCAGTGTTTCTACATAAGTTTAAATAAAGACTGTATACTCACTCTGGGAATTGGATGTTGTACAGAAAGCCAAGAAGGAAAAATAGAGCACAGTCTTCATCTTTTTTTATGGTTAACAAGCAAGATACCTAAAACAGATGACTGCTTAGATATAGTGTTACATAATAATGATACATTATGATAAAATACATGACTTAGAATACAAAATGAATTCAATGCCCTAAGTTTATACTGATCATGAAACTTCTAATTTGTTATCCTAGAATTTATATAGATAGACAGATAGATATAATATATCATTGATATATCTTAGATTATATAGAATACGATATATCATAGATTATATATGATGTGATATATCATTGATTATTATTACACACACACAGACACACATATATATATATATATATATATATATATATATATATATATATATATATATATATATATATATATATATATATATATATAATGTTAGTCCAATAAAAAGGTATCATTGCCTGGTATTTTGGCAATATATATATATATATATATATATATAATATATATTTATTTTTAAACTTATCTCATCAATTTAAATTATGATTTATCATTTCATAAGCTATAATTTAAAAAAAAAAAATATATATATATATATATATATATATATATATGATAGGCATTTGTTGTTTTTTTTCAGCCACTGCCAATAATTGGTTCTATTAAATCTTACCTGCTCCTACCTTGCTTTTTCTGTCATCGCTTCATGAGCTGCGAATTAAATATTATGTTGGACAAGTCATAGGAAACAGAGGCCAATCACAACTGAGCATTGAGACAATACTAGTATTATTTTAACTGTTGGCAGATATGTAAATAAAAAATAAATAAATCACATTTTCTGTACAATAGGTAGAAAACACATTATTTTCTTTGTCAAATGCCTTGGTCTTTTATTACCTTTCACTGTAAAATTTAAGTTCATCTCTTTATATGATAAGGTCACAAATGCACCTGTGTTCACATTCTGTTCTTAAACGAGTTAGGTCACATCTGATCATGTCACTGTTTTCACTGTGCACTTAATACTTAACAAAATATCAATTATTGTGTGTGATGCCTCTCCAAAGCCCTCCCCATGACAAAAAGTTAAAAGTCACCATATGTTTGTTTTAATTATACCTAATGGAAATAAATATTTTCCTTCTCATGTGATGAAAATGATAATCAAAATATTTGTTTTTTCAGCAAGTAACCAATATATCAACGGTTTTTAATCAAGAAAAGCATTTAAATTTACCTGGTATTTAAGTATGCCCAGAAAAGTATTTGCAATGAAAAGGCACACATTTAAAATAAAGAATAAATAATATATAATTAATGGCTCATAACTGGGTCTCTAGCTGTGGGCAACTTGCTGAAACTCCCAGATGTTCATGAATGTATCTCTGATGCTTTTCACTGACCAGGACATTTTCTTATAATGATCATTGGTGGCATAATTGTGGTGCATGATTTATTCTTATTAGTTGTTGTATAAATCCACTCTCTAAGCACTCTGATGTTCCTTTCATGGTTCCAGTTAGCCTTACATTACACCCTTTGATTTATTTCTGATTTAAGCCATTCCTAGTCCAACAGTTGTTATTAGACTTGGAGATTAGTTTGATTAGTTTGTCTTCATGGACAAAAGGTGCAATGATGTCAGCTGAATATCCTGTTCAATTAGGAGGTACCAAAAAAAAACAGATTACTTGATGGTGATGGATAAAAAGTCCATTCAATTATGTGGGCTAGATTTTCCAATTAAGAGGTAGCAAGGATGGATAAATGATGGTTAAGGGACAGCCACTAAATATTGATTTTAGCCAAAAATAAAGTGAAGTGACTAAATTAGAGAAAAAAGGAGGATCAATAAAACAATTATACATCCTAGCAGGATTATTCTTCAGCTACTGAGGGAGACAGGCCATAAATCATTCTGTATGTTTACCCTAACTGTGCCTTTGTTGGAGTGGGATGTAGCCTAGGTCAGGGATAGGTGACGTTTGGTATTCTTGATTTCTTTGGACTACATCTTCCATTACTGTGGAGTTAACTAACAAAGAAAATGAATGCACAAGCAATGTATACTTTAAATAGTAGTGAATTAGGGATAACAACACAGAATGATTTGGGAATTGTTATAGACAACAAACTAGGCAGAAAAAATATCAATATATATACATATGCAGTTGTCAAAAATAAGATATGTTTTTATATATTTTTAGATGTAATAAATGCACATTTTTGGTGGGGCATAGAATTAGAATGCTGTGCCCACAAGTATCTGATATATAAATCCGTTCCTGGTTGGTTTTGCTTTCTTTGGCTATGAGCATTTTTTATTTTCTAGTTTAGCCCTTCTAATCACCCTTTTGCAAGCCCTAATGGGATGTTTATAGTTACTAGAGGATATTATTGACCCATCTAATATAAATGTTTATTAATGCCCTTGTCTTATCGTTACTTACTCATTTTTAATGACTTTTTTATTATGTTTACTAAATCACATTAGTATTCATTTGCTAATTTTGAATTAAAAACATATCTACTTAATTAAAAAAAGAAAGAAACATTAAAATTAAATTATTTCTGTTGCCGCAGCCGCTCTCCTTTTTTTTTTTCAGAGGCCTTTTGTAATAAATTCTGCTTCTTCTGTGTCTTTCTGTGATTTTTTTCCAGTTGATTGATATATATACACGTCTTTTGTATATATAGTCTTGGGTCAAAGGCTCGCAAAATTAATATACAACTATATCAGTGGCGTCTCTAGGATTCATTTTTAGGGGGGGCACATGGTGGGCCAGGGACAAAAGTAGGGGGGCACATTTAACCCCACCCTCACTGCAGTTTGACCCCGCCCCTGCCTTGTTAAGCCCCGCCCCGACACAATGTGTTTTATTTTTTGTAATAATCCCTGGTGGAGAATTCATTATTTTCCACCAAGCATTATTAAAAAACAAACACATTTCCCTTGATACAGTCCATACACACACACACACACACAGACTGCTGAGTCCTAACACACACACAGACTGCTGAGTCCATACACACACAGACACACAGACTGCTTACCATACACACACACACAGACTGCTGAGTCCATGCACACACACAGATAGACACACAGACTGCTGTGTCCACACACACACACACACAGACTGCTGAGTTCATACACATACACACACACAGACTGCTGAGTCCATACACACACACACACACACACACACAAAGTAAAAAACAGAATGTAAAAGAAGGGCTGCGCCAAGATAAAATAGATAATATCCAGTCCAAATACTGGTAAAAGTCCAACCTAAAAAATGTGTCCTCTCTGTCGTCCTTGGATACAGGAACAAAGTCTTCAGGTAGATATAAAAGATAAAAAGAGAGAACAACCGATAGTGCAATATGTATGGTTCAAGTGGAGTAAAATAAAAGTAGCGAACTCACAATTTCTAAGAGCTTCTGTCCAGCTCTAGGGTAAAGCGCACACAGCGGTATAGTCCCCGCTTATGGGACGTGCGGTGAGTGTCGATTCTTCAGTGGTCTCCAGAAACTCAAAGAGAACAGAAACAAGCCAGATAGTGCTCTCTGTATGGGTGTATATAGTAGGATAAAGTAAAAAAATTTACTTACAAGTACAGAGCAGGCCAACTGCTCTATGGTGTCAGCGCTGGTGGAATAATCCCCACCTAGGATTTCTTTCACTGCACAGAAACTTGTGGAAATGGTGTTAAAGTCAGGATAAATATTTATCAGATATATATAAAATTTGCCAGGGATCAATGTATAAATAAAGATAATGGGAACTAACAAGTAACCAAAACTTTAATATTTATTATACAAAATTATGTATCCATTAACGCGTTTCGTCATACAGACTTCTTCAAAAATGGCAATAGGGTTTATATAAGCATAGTTCAATACAAAATTTGGCGCCAAAAAATTATTTAAGCCAATCAGAATAAAGGTACATATTTACATATCAAAATAACAATAATCAGTAGAGTTAGAATAATACATTGTATAATGAGGCATATTCAGTGAGTTTTTATTAAAAACGAGGATAAAAACAAGTATAAAATCACGGAAACAATTGGTCACGTGATTTTGCGGCATTTCCGGTTTCGAGTGGATGGCCGCAAAGCCTCATGGGTGTAGTAGTTTCCCCATGCGGCAAAACACAATAATTAACAAGTATTCAAAATAAAAAAGCCCTATGAGTATAAGTTACTAATAAATAAGCAGATATATAAAAATAAGAGGAATGTGAAAACGAGGAAAGAATATGGTACTTCTGGGTCACGTGATGCGACGACACTTCCGGTATCGGCTGTGTAGCCGCAGGGCTTCATGGGGAGTGTAGTTCTCCCACAGAAGAGCCCTCTTAGGGGAAAAAGACCAAATCAAAGTGTCCATAAGGAGCACACACACAGGCTGCTGAGTCCATACACACACACACACAGACTGCTGAGTCCATACACACACAGACTGCTGAGTCCATACAAACACAGACTCATAGACTGCTGAGTCCATACACATACACACACACAGACTGCTGAGTCCATACACACACACACACACACACACACACAGAGACTGCTGAGTCCAAACACACACACACACACTGCTGAGGTTTGTTCAATAAAATTTGAATTGTACGCTTAATAGTTGATAGCATGAGAATTATGCTGACTGTTATTTACATCAATTATTTAGGTAAATGAGACAAATATAATTTGCATAATAATTTGGAACAGGGTGTAGATGGGGATTCCCTACCAAGCTCCTTGTTACGTGGGAAGGCAGCATCAAAGCCCTACAGATGCCTGAGGAAGGCCTACGCAAGATGGCAGCGTGGGGCCTGGTGGGAAACCAACCTGTGCAGGCTTCTAAGCCGAAACGGAAAATCTCCACGGAACGGCACACAGTAACGGCCGCTATGAGACACGGCTAAGCAGAATTTTCAACGAGCCTAAACGGACGCAAGTGTACTTGCTATCTCTAATGTTTACCTTCACTGGCAATCTGGCGCTATGAGGGTGATGAAGGACAATATTACCATACAGGTTCTGAATGTTCGAACAGTTTAATGGTTCAATTCACAAAATATTGGGTAAAGGGCTGGCAGTCCCTTGTATATAGTAAAACCCAACTAAAGGAAGGGCACTGTAATGGATCACCTGGCACCCCGACTGGGTACCTCTGTTGAAGGATGCTCCTAGCGCCTCCTGAGGGCTCCAAGCACTCCAGCAGAAACCTCCAGACACAGGACGCTACTCAGTCCTGGGAATTCTGGAACCGAATGGGGAATTAGCTCTAGTCCTTACAAGGACTTTCCCCATTGAATCTCCTGCAAGCTGGAACAGCAGACACAGGAGCAAATATTCTTCCCTCCAATAACTGGACGACACACAGTTTTGGAGTGTAAACAGGAACAGACAGAGCTGTGGTTTAATTGCTTCTTTTATACAGGTTTTTACACAATGTTACCATCCACAGGGTTTTGTGGCACAGCCAATAAAATACATTATATTACAGTTAAACACTCCCAGTTAGGACAAACACACACTCCCCTCTGCCTGTGATATAATTACTGTACACAATGGGTTGATGTAATTATCACAGGCAGGAAAATACAGTTTTTACACAAATCTTATAACTTCTAAAATATACATCCAATCTTCATAGTTACATAATATTAATCAGCACACTTCAAATATAAACATATCTAAAATTGAGACAATTCCCT